TCTTGACATACCCTTGCTTGAAGAAGCCAGCCTGATACGTGGTGAGGACGGTGTCTGCTGCATCTTGGTGGCCAGTGGCAAACAGAAGACCAATGTGGTGGTTGGCTCGCCATTCCTCCGCGCAGGGCACGGGGGACAGCCCGTCTTGCCGGAACAACACTTCGACACCCTACACAACGCAATATGGCGCGTGAAGTGTGAGCGCATGTGTGTGCGTGCGTGCGTGCATGTGTGTGCGTATGTGTGTATGTGTGCGTATGTGTGTGTTGATGTGTGTGCGCATGTATGTGCGCATGTTTGTGCGCATGTGTGCTGATATGAGTCGGAAAACTCGAGGCGAAAGACCTCGCGTGAGGCTGGATACTGGTGAGCCTTGAGATGAAACAAGAACACGTGGCTGCATTGCTGCGTCGACACACCTCCTCGCGCAGGCGGGATGTGAGCGCCAGCTGGTATGGGTTGAGGTCCGAGTAGGAGCACTGCGGTGTGACTGCGAGAAGCCGCTGCCAGTGCCAGGCCTTGAGCAGATGCACCAGATGCGACATGAGCGCGTCGTCGTTGTCGCGCGGCAGCACATTACACTCTGATATTGCGGTATGTTGTTGCATGGGAAAGGAGGAGGGGAGGAGGGCAACGTGTTGATGCATGAGGTTGTGTGTGTGTGTGTGTGGGGGGGAGTGTGAGGGTAAACAAACATTCAAAGGAGAGCCACTCTCGGTGCTGAAGCAAGGTGAAGCCTGTGTACAAAGCACGGGTGTGCTGGGTGTGGGCACCGAGAACACACACACACACACACACACACACACACACACACACACACACACACACACACACACACCTGTCTGGGTGATATTGAGGGCTGTCATGTTGGTGGTGATGCAGAGGGTGCTGCTGCGATCATCATCACCATCGCCGCCGCTGCCACCACCACCACCATCACCACCACCACCACCATCCCCATCATCATCGCTACGCTCGGTAGCGATGGTTGTGGCGTCGATCACTTGCACCTGCAGTGTTGATGCGGGTGCATCTGGCAAATCATCCACCGCGTATGATGCTGCTGCCTGAATCACCGCCAGTTCCTCAACAAGCACGGGATGCCGCACTTCAACAAGAATGTAGCCGATGGGGTGACTGCCGGTGGTGGTGGTGGTCGGGGGTTCAGCGACGCGCTTCGCCCCGTTACTGTTCTCTTTGGTGCTCGCACCAGTTACAACCAAGGGTCTTTGCTGTTGCAGATCCACCGCCATCGCTGCCAGCAGCACAACAACCACCTCAAGCACCCGGCTGCGTCTGCAAGACCGCTTCACCACCATCCTGCTGCTGCACTGCACGCTTCGTCGTCAGGGCGAGCGATGACGAACGACGACGGCAAGTGACAATGGTGGTGATACAGGAAGAGGAAGAGCACTAGTTAGCAGGAAAGGGGAGTGAGGGAAGATAAGGAGGAGAGGGGACACGGCGGCGTGCAACATCAGCGTTAACAGCGGCCTAAGTGGCTAGAGCAAGGAGAAAATGACGAGATGCCACGAATGCACCACTTCCTCGCTTCTTGACCTCCACCAACAAACAGCTCATCGCTTCTTCATGTGCGTTTATGTAAGCTCTGAGAGGGAGAAACACACACACACACACGCGCACCATGCTGCTTCGTTGAATGCAATCACGAGGCGATGTAGGATGCTTTCCAAGAAACGTCACAAAGAGACAAAGAGAGCCCAAGAAGCAAAAGAAGCGAGCAAGGCTTAAACGCCCCCGATTGGATCATTCGCCACTCGCACCCACGTCATCGCAGGCGTTCGAGGCGTTTCAAACGCAGCACATTGCGCAAGAAGCAGCAAGCGAAGAGGAAGACGACGACAGCACGAAATTATGGGGATCCGTGGACTGCGCGCTGTGGTGGAAGAGGAGGACGATGGTTGTGGTGGTGGTGTGGAGGTGGTGAAGGCGTACGAGGATGTGGTCTTCCACAACAGCAGCAACAGCAGTAGCAGGGTTGCGGAATGTGATGGCAAGCAAGCACAAGAGGAGGTGAGCAAGCAGGTGGGAAAGGATGAAACCGCCACCAGCGCCACCAGCAGTAACACCACCACCACCAACAGCAACACCAACACCAGCAACACCACCAGCAACAGTGTGGTTGTGGATGGCGGTGGCTTGCTGTATCGGCTGGTGCAAGAGGCCACCAGCATGGCAGAGCACCCGCACGCCCAGTGGGATGGCCTCAAATACGCTGTGCTGCAGTGCATGGACCTGCTCACAAAGTGTTTTGACTCGGTCACTGTTGTGTTGGACGGGCCTGCGCCGCTCACAAAGCAGGACACCCTGCAAGACCGGCAGCTGCAGCTGGCAAAACATGCACGTGCCATGTGCTCCAGCCTCGCACGCGAAGACAAAGGCACGCGACACCACCACCACCAACAACAACGACAGAGCCACCGCGCTCCGCGCCACAAACAGCAGAAACACCAGCACCAGCACCGGCGCCACCAGCACAGAAAGCAGGGAAAGCGGGCAGCACGGAAGCATGCCACAGCAGGGCAAGGGGCAAGGCCATCCAATCACGGCCACTCCCAGCGTGGGGCCGATGGCCCCTGTATTCTGCCGCCTGGCTTGTGGCACTTCTTCACGTCCATCTTGCTGGATCGGTTTGGCTCCAAGGTGGCTGTCATCATGGCGACGCACGAGGGAGACGCGCTTGTGGCGGCCCGTGGCACGGCAGAAAGCGTGCGGCTACGTGATGGCAAACGACTCTGACTTTTTCGTGTACGAGTGCGGGTACTTGCCACTGCC